AACCCTTCCACCGAGTCTCTTTCTCCTGCTGCCATTGTGTGTGTGTGTGTTGTGTGAGAACCAATAACTACTATGGTTCAGCTCTGCTCCAATCTCTGCTCCTCACCCCTCTATCTTCCTTCTCATTTCTCCCTCTCCTGCTTCTGGCTCACTACCACCTCCAGTGTCCCCTACGGTGAGGGAGGGAGTGGGGCAGGGGCTGCCAAGCTAGGGCAGGGCGAGGCACAGGACAGCCATGGTTTGTCTTGGGGGCACACATACCCCCCAGATCTGCATGGGGCAGGGCAGGCAGGCTGGAGCCAGGGGGGTGCTGCAGTCCCCCTATAGCTCCCCCTCTGTGCTTGTGTGGATCCATAACATTTGGCCACATCAGAGCACTCCAGCAATCTAACCTGGAGGTGATTAACATGTCAAGCAGAGGTGCCTAGTCTTCAACTGTGTAAAGAATAAGTAATGATTCTTGCCCATCTGAAAATGTAAGAAAGCAGTCTATGTATGGAGGATCAGTTCAATAAAAATCTTAAAATCTCAAACAATCTTGTGTTTCTTTGTAACAGTAAACACCAGACCAGGGATTAGGTTACCAGCTCATTCTCATATTTCTAATTCCCTTCTGTTCATCCTAGATTGGTATAAAATCACTGCATTTAATCCTTCTGCCTAGGCCCATTCTTCCAGACATCAGATTATCTTCACAATAGCCATGGCTGCACTACTGGGGAAGATACACTGAGATACAAAGAGAGGGTAAATGCTGAAATCTATGGCAGCATAAGTGATGTTGTAGCTGTGATGGTTCAGAAATTACACAAATCTTTTTAATAAAATAAAAATAGTAAATAAAGGTCCCACTTGCAGTTCTTAATATTATTAAAAGAAATTTAATATTTTTTAAATTAAAAAATTCAAATAATTCTATTAAAGACAATGAAGTCAGATATTAATACTGTCAAGTCATACCCTTTTGGCATGAGATTTACATAGAATTTAAGATTTTATGCATTGCTTCAACATGTTAAGAAACCATCTTTTCATACTTACAATATCAATAGGTCAATTCCATACAATATCAAATATCCTTTTTAAAAAAAGTTTTAAATATATTAGACTCTGATTGCCAAAATGCCATTTTTATACACAAAGCGGCTAATACAATATACAGTTCTCTTACATTATTTTTTCACATAAAATACATTTGTCAAGTTTTATTTATACATCATTTACTATAGATCAATGGAGTTATGAATTATTGCAGGGGGCTGGGCATCCTTTTGACATGTCTTGGCTTGCTGTACAAGGCTTACAAACACTACTATAGTCAATTCACTTCCTTTTCCTAGCAAAACTGCAAAATCCATAGAGCCTGAGGAGTTAGGTACGGTCACACTCAGGCAGCATCTGCACTGTCTACTAGAAAACCTGTAAAATTCTCCACTGGTGCAGAACTGGGCAACAAAAAGGAAAAACTGCTTCAGTCCTCTCTGTTTCCACTGCTGGAATTGCAACAGCAGAAAAATTATAGTCTCTGAAATTTGCTGGGACAGGTGTAGCCTGAAAGAGCCCAAACCTACTCTTTTCATGCAGGAAATTTTAGACAAGTTTCTCAACAGCTTTGCCTACATGAAGTCAGTAGGATTAGGCTGAGTAACTAAACACCGTTGTACACTTGTAGAAAAATAACTTGCATTTTTACTATTATGTTTTGGGCACTGCCTGTGCTGCCTAGTTATTTTTTTT